CAAATGCTAAGAGGAAGCCGCGATAGATCATTTGTGAGACCGACACTTTCATTGCCCTCCAAAATTTCTTTCCTGTCGTGACCACAACTAAGACATCATCGCATTAGTCATTTGAATTCCCTCTCTGCTATATCCTTCATGTCTAATTCTGTTCCATTCCATTTTAAAATGCTATAATTATGGTTTTCTTTTAAAAAAAAATTAATTTCCGTTAATTCCAAAAAAACTAATCATTTTTGTTTCTATTTTATAAATTTCCCTGCTTTTTTCCAATCATCTTGCAAAATTCTATGTGTAATTTTTTTTTAAATCATAAATACTTGCAGAAATTGTTGGTCCTAAAAATCATAAATACTTGCAGAAATTTTTGGTCCTAAGAAAAATCCTAGAAATTTACCATTTCATTTTTTATTAAGCTTCATAGTTACTTTGATTTTTTAAAGCATCAATAAAAATTATAAATACTGTAACACTGTAAAACAATTATGAAATATATTTCTAATCAAATATAAAAATATGATGACAAATATTTATTTGTATGTATGAGTGAAATAATTATGTACGAAAGTACAAAAGAAGATAAAATATATGTGATAAATGAAATGAACTGAATTTGAGTTTGAATTTAAGTTCAGGAGAAATATAATATTAATTATTTATTTAGTCATAATATTATATTAATGCTTCCAATAAATTGCTTTTTCCTTTTGCTTTCGTCGCAATGAGAAGCCAACTGATTGATTTGTTAAGCAATATCTGCTTGTCTCTAAAGCATGCTCTTTCAAATCCTTTCCTTTACATTCACTTTAATCATCAAACATGTCGTAGGATTCTACGAAACTATTAATTATTTATTTTATTCTCTTCAAAAAATTATCATCCTTTTGACGCTTTCGGAAATCAAAAAGCGAGTACGTACCAAAATTTATTTCTAGCTGTGAGCTTACTTCGTCATTCATTTAATCGAAGGTTAATATAATTGATACCATTAGATTAAATAATCATTACTTCATTCTCACGTAATGAATTTTTTCGACCAAATGCTACAATTGTCCATTCATCTCATTAATGGTTCACTTGGGAATAGGTATTCTCCAGTAATGACATTGAAATTGAAGCGATTGTTATTGCTTGAGAATACAAATTGTCAAAGAGAACCCAGCACCTGCCAAAATAACTCCCCGTAATCTCCACTTGCAAGCTTAATTTCAAGTACGATACACACCTCATAAATGCTTTTATCAGTGAAACAACATATATCAACGCAACGATATAGAATGTCTCTTTTTTGGAATTATTGTTGGAAATAGCAGAAAATTTCTGAAGGTACCAATTTTTAAAGATTAATGAATAAGATGTATTTTTTTTTAAGCAGCAATGTTATCCTATTCATTTTCTTTGTGTTACGACACATTTAATGAAGAATGATCGTTCGATTTTGCAAATCAAAAGCAAGTTTGAAACCGATAGCTTTCATCTCATAATCATCAAACTGAAGGTAGTACCATGAAATTATATGTCTTATCATTTGAAATTAAAATTCTTATATTGTTATTCATTGCATGTAGATTGTAAATTCAAATCCCAGTTTCTTTTAAATTCAGTGAGATAGAAATCAAAGTTTGTAATCTTGATATTGATAAAAATCGTTATAATCTCTTTATTAAAAAGATCATTTCAAATTAAATGTGCCGCAAGAAATGTCCAGATTTCCATTGAGTCAAATGATATTACAAAGGCGTTTTGATGCAAATTTCATATTAATACAGCCAACATTTGGCTAATTTGATTATTGATAACACGAAAAATTCAAAATGGAAGACTTGAAAAGAAAAAAAAGTGCACATATCTATCCAAACAGGTCATTTATGCGCGTACGATGGAAAAATAATGACAAAAATTGCTATCCGACAGAATGTTCCAAAAGTATTGTAATCGCTGTCTTCAAATGCAAAGAAATGAAAAAAAAGACGTAAGCATGATTGTAAAATCAGTTATCTGTCATTTCATTTGCCAACAAATTGCATTTTATTTTTAAACTAAATAAGTGATAAAAATTTTCTCTATTTAGTACATTAATAATTTCTGTAAGATTTGAAAGAAATTTTCAACCAAGTCAGTGCTATACGGAAATTAGCATTTGACAATTACAAATATAGTTTAAATCATTAAAAAAGTAACATTTTTGTTGTTTTAAATTTATGAAATGTATAAAAATATACGACAAAATGAGAAAAACGAGTATTTATTGAGTTGCACAAATTGAGCATATAAAAATAATGCTTGAGAATAATAATTTTTCTAAGTGTATTTCATCCTACCTATGAGATATGGATGAGATAGCAAATCTTTATTGGTCGCAATTTTGAACATAGGTACGAGGAAATGTACCCTTTGATTGTTAGAACAAAACTAATTTAATTTTTTTCTAGGCGAAAAATGAAGAGGAAAATTTCATTTCCACATTAATAGCGATCTGTCATCAAATAGGCTTTTTTTACCGGCAGATAAGAAAATGATAGATCTTCTAAATAAAACTTTTGGAAATTTCCCAAAATGTTCGAGTATCTTTATTTGTAATTCCAGAAAAAAAATTTTAAAAACGAAATTTTAAATAAGATTTTTTAAATGAAATTTTAAAAATCACTTATTTTCTTAATTCTGAATTGAGATTTTCAGGGTTAATAAAAACGACAAAATGATGTGTTTTACAATTATTATTGTCACAAAATGCTTATTGGCGTGGTAAGTTGACACTTATTGAAATAGTAAAGCAAATTATTAGATGCCTTTAAAAAAGATCAATAATCAATAAATTTTTATATCTTATTGGTACAAACTGTAAGTTATTTTATTGTAAACCCATACATAAATGATATTCTCATTTCAATAAGAAATATTTTCAATTAATAATAATCAGTTACTATTTTCCATCGACGTTTCATAATTATCAGGATAAAAAAGTAATTACAGTTTTTGCACTTTTGTGGGTCGTTGTTTTATATTCTCAAAGGATTGTCACAATATTATACATTATTTTAGTACCCATTTCTTGCATCGCTTTTCTGCTTTTTTCTTTCTATTTATTTTTTTCTATTTTAGACTAAGGAACTGATATTGAGCAAATTGCAAATTTGAACGGTTTTTTTTCTTGGCTTTAAGATGGGCTGCAATGGGCCGATACAGCATATAATATCAATAAACTACAAATGGTCCAGAAATTGCTGATGAGTTATGGTGCAGTTGCTGATCAGAAAGTTTTATGGAGCAAGAGAACTTGAAAATGAAAAGCGTAATGGCTGGACATCAGTTGACATTGACCGATGGAGAAGCATCAAAGCTGACTCGTACAACATCCGCTTGCTGTGTTCAGTATATCTCTTTAGTATATTTCTGGCTAAGAGAACAACAAGGACGCAGATTTTGTTCCAAAAATGCGAGAATTTTGAACATTTCACATCACCAGAACATTCAAAAAATACTTCTAGCGGATAAAATACATAATTATCAAAGTTCTGTCTTAATTAATTCGATACATCAAGCCTAGTTATAATGATTTTAAGTTCAACGTCACGAAAATATAACCTTCGCATTAACCGAATATTTTTTTGAAATTAAGCCTTTAAAAGCAAAGATAATTTATCAGAAACCTAACCATCACAGGTATTAGTAAATCTTTTTACTATTTTCAGAGGTAGTAAATCTACAAATATACATTGGATGAAATATTAAGGTGTTTTTGAAATGTATAGATTTTCTTCGATTAACAAAAATTTTGTTATGGTAATGAAATTTCACTTATTTTCGGCTTGCAAAATAGTAAAAGAACTACTGAAGAAATGGAACACGCCTACCAGATGACATTTCATCTCATACTCGAAGTTCAAATGTATTGGATTTATTTAAACATGTAAATCATTGATGAAAATTTTGTTGCAATCATATATCGGAAATGCTGACAAACATTTAGTATATTTTGATAGCAATGAAAAAGCCAGAGGAAACAAAATTTGCTACTTCACCTTTATATTGTAAACTGTGTGTCATTGAAGTTTAAATATTTTTCCGCCATTTTGTAATTACTATTGTACGACCAATTTTGGTCCTTTGTAAAAAACAAAAAACACAAATTTTGTTTATTATTTTCATTGTTTCGCAATGTTTTATGTGCAAAAAATGAGAAGTATCACAATTTTATATGAATAGTTTACGACTGTTTTGTAAACAATCGAAAATTTTGAAGAGAAAATCACAATACATTTTTGCTTGGCAATGTTTCATAAATGCTCAATATTCATAAAATTTGATAAACAATTTCTATTCAGTTAACTTATCAGATAACGGTATCAATAATTGATCAGCAAAGCTTAAAGGGAATGAAAAATTTGACCAGTCAATAGTTTGAATCGAAAAGAACTAAAAGACTTTTCGTTCTGTTCATAACGAATAGGAAAAGATTAAGCAAAAATTCTTTACGGAATACATCAGATTGCTATGTTAAATTGACCCCAAAAAAAAAATGTTGTCTCAAAGAAGCACAGCTCGAATTTGGCTAGAGTTATCTTCAGAGGTAATAATTCCCTAGAATATTAAGGCTAAAAGCCCGTGAATTAATTATTACAATCGAGATTTACAATTAGGTGTAAAACTAAATGGGAAATAGGGCTGAATGCAATAATAGCTTTGCAGAAACAATCAATGAATTGAAAATCCAGAAAACATGATACAGTCTTAGTTCAGCATTTGATATCATTCCTGATAGTAAGAAGAGAAACCAGTAAAAATCACTACTCCCTCTTCCATAGATACACTAACGAGATCAATGATACATAAAATATCTCTCATTTTAATAAAATTTGACCATTTTAGGATATCTGTCCCTCAACAATACTTAACGATGATTAATTTTTTGAAAAGTGGTCGACAATGAAACTTTATTTTTTCTTAAAGAAATATTGTTTTTTGAATTTTCAGAAAGGGAGAGAGAGAAAGAGAAAAAGCTATGTGTCATCATTAGTACCGCTTGTTGTATTGCATTGTTTCTCGATGGGAGCAGCATGTCGTTTAACGATTAATCTTTGCTGCTTTTCCGGTGTTATAAGAGGTATCACACTTGATGATAATTCCAGTTGTTCCTGTTCTTGTGACGATTCCCGACGACGTTTTTTCCGATTGGACGTAATGATTGATCCGGCATCATCACATTTACCAATCATTGCTACCAGAGAAGATGATGATGATGCAGCAGTTAATTCATTTCCGGAATCAACAGTACCTTCATCTAATCCTGGACTTCTGCAATTTTTAGTACCAATCAAAATAATATGTTCAATTTTTATAAAATCACTTCTAACCAGCAACAAAGCTTAACGTTTAAAGTAAACAACAACAACCTTGTCGAGAAGATCACTTGCTATTTCCAAAGTTATCTGCATAAATATTTTAGTCGACTCAATGGATTACAATTGTAAGTCCTTATATATTATTAAATATAACTTAAGTTATCAAATAAAACAAAATTTGACAAATTCCAAAAAAAATTCTTCCAAATATTTCAAGTTAATAATGGGTGTATTTACCCAGTTGAAGCAGAACTTTGTGGAGATTGGGATGGTTCGCTGGGATAAAATGAATCCATTACAACTAGCGAACGTTGCCTTTTAATATCTGCTTCACTTTTTTTCATCCCTTTCACATAGTTATAACCCGCATCCTTTACTACCTGTAAGCGGAAATTACCGTGAAAAAAAAGAGCAAATATTGACTGGAATAAGTAAAAATTTCAAAAATTTGCGAAGATTTTTAATTGAAAATTTTTGAACCTGTCGAGCAAGTGGAAACAATTCATCACGCCTAGTCAAAAGTGCAGGTTGCCGAAGGCATAATTGTGCAGCTGCTTCATTAACTGAAACTTCATGCAAAGTTAACGGTTTGTCTGGTTTACGTTTCGCATCAAACCGTCCATAAATTGCTGAATATCTCCGATATTCTTGAAGACGTTGCGGTGAACCAAATGGTAATTGCATCACATCCAGTAACTCTCTTTAAAAAAGAATTGATTTGAAACATCAAAATTCATTCCTACAATAGTTCCTTAATTCAAAAATATCACAAAATACTTTTAAACCTTGCCTTCTATTAACTATCATAATGATTAAAAGAAGAAACTGCAAACCTCAGTGTGACAACCCGAACATTGAAATGAAGTTTCGTATGCTTAAAAAATATTCTCACAAATTTCTCAACTTAATATGCTCTAAAAAAAATCAAACAGAGGTCGAAATTGCCTATTATATAATTAATACTAACATTCAGTACTTTTTGCTCGCTTCAATCTGAATTTAAATAGAGTGCATTTCAAAAAATTGTTAAATTGATAAATTTTAAATGAAATACTGAAAAGCAAATGATTCTTTCAAAAAAATTACCGGCTAATTTTCTTTTTGTTCTGTATTAATTTAGGTTCAAGTTGCGGCATTTGTTCGATAAGACGATGAGAACACTGAGCAAGCCTTCCAATTTGAGCTTCTGTTAGTACTGGTGTTTCTGATGTTGTACTTGTTCCTTCAAAAATATTATAATTAGTCCTTTGCAACTGATTTGCATGAATTTTAATACATCCTTCGCATGACAGAAGAGAAGAAGGAAGAGAATCTTCATACCATACCTTACAGATACTTTCAACTTTTCAGTTCAAAATTATTCAATGAAAGATAACAATTATTTTTGTTATAAAATTAGACTTACCAACTCCTAGCTGATCGAAATCACAATTTGCTTCATTACTACTTGTTGGAGAACCGACAGAAAGTTGAATTAGGCCTGATGTCGCAGGCGTATGTTCTGTTGAGGAGGATGCCATCTTGGACGATGTCGCTGATTCCAATCCTTGCATGGAATTAGCTGCAGCACCACCGCTACCACTACTACAACTACCGCTAGATTGTGGTATACCAGCTACTAAACTTGTCAGGAAATCACCGGTCATCACGTTTGCCGTAGCACCAATAGTTGCTGTGGTGAATGTTGTCCCTGAGGTGCCCACTTCAGCTACCGCTGCTACCGTTGCAGCACTGAATAATTCATGCAGCGATTCTGATGCTATAATTAAATTTTTCTTAATTCTTCACATACACCACTCTTAATCATTTTATTTAAACAGCGCTCGTTGAATTATGTTACAGAAAAATCAACTGACAGAAAATTTTAATTCATTTTTAAAATCATTAGAATCAATAATTGGAGAGAATTTATTTCAAGAATATCAATTCCATTTGAAACAGTCCAATTTGGTTAACCGCAGTTTTTTTTTGTTTCAATCAGTAAGACCAAAATTTTGAAATAATTTGTAATTATTGCTAAACGAATTCATAATTATAAAGTTATGGAGAAGTTGCGCAAATAATCTGAATAAACATCACACTGACCTGATACTAGTGGTTGTAAGAGTGATCGCGGCGAGTTTTGATCGTGCTGGAAAATTTTTCTAAAAACTAATTAGCCAAATGATTAAAAGAGGGATGAAATGTATTGCCGCCCGTTTATTCTTAATTCGAGATTTTTGCGGAAAATTTGCCCATCAAAATATTTTAATATTAGTCTTACTTAATAACCAACTTTTTTTGATAATTCTTCAAAAAAAATTGAAAAATTACAGTAATGGACGGACTAGTACATGGCAAACCAGCAGCAACAGCCAAACTTGCAGCAGCAAGATTTTGTGATGACATGAGAAATTGCAAGGCGGCAGTTGGAGTAGCTGATGTTGTTGGTGGGATATATCCATAGCTTGCAGCCGGTGGTAAACCAATCTGCTGGATGGCAACCAGGTTGAATGCATCCGGATCTTTACTGAATTCCTCAAATTAACACTGACATTCCATTAAATATTCCAAAAATTTTAAGTATGTCAAAATCAGTATTTGCATGGATTCTTGCATATGTGCATATTTGCAAATTCGAACTTACGTAATCTATTTTTAAATAACAACAAAATCTTCAGTTAAAAATTAGAATTAGTAAGTAATAAACAAAGTGGTTCTGAAAACTGTGAAGAATCATTTTCACTCATTGCCGTCAGAAAAAGAAATTGTACTGAAAATAATTATTACAGGAATTACTGACAGTGAGCGTTCGTTGAAACCGTCGGACGTGAAGCGGTTTTGAGGCCATTCCAACCACTGACATTATTTCCAGGAATTCATGTTCATCGCATGTCATGAACTGGTTGATGTCATCTCCGCCTGAAAACTGAAAATCGATTATCGTATAACAGTGAAATCAAATAACTTAAAAACGGCAAATACCTAAAGAGCTAGAATTGATGAATAAATTAGGTCAAAATGAAATATCAATGTGGTCTCTTCTGTAAGCCAAGAACTCAACGCTGAATTCTTCGCCCCCATATAAATGTGAACATCCAATTAAATTCTCTACGACAATTAAAAATCCGCTTCACTCCTTCAAATATTCACAGAAACTGGTTCCTAAAGATTATCAAATATTTTTGATCGCATAGCAAAATAGATACTGCAGTTGTGAGAACTTTATTCCGAAGTGCAAAATATTTCTCGGGAGGTTATGAAAGAATCGAATCTAATTTGCTCGTATTTCTCATCATATTTTTGTCAGATTTATAGTAATACAATAATCATGAATGGAATTAACTTTGGGCTTCTATAATTCGAGAATTTACATGTTTTTTATTATTTTATCTGTCTTGACCCTGAGTGAATTGTAAGCATATAATTTATATGGAACAAATCAAAAAAATACATGAAATCTTATACATATTCAAAGTTGGATATGTATATATTCAATATAATTTCATATAGTTTCTTAAGCAAAGGATTTCGAAAGAAGAAAGAAAGTGAAAGGGAAGTTATCATGCAAATGTCGTAATTAATTTTATTTAAAATAGAACGATACAAAGAAATCGTCTATCACAACTCTAAAATAAATATCAAATTTTGTAAAAAAGTATTTGAAATCACTAAAATGAATGCAAATCTCAGCAACAAAACCTTTTTTCCCAACAACTACCTACTTATATTGCAGTAAATGTTGCATTGCTTGCATAAAATCAAAACCATAAAAAATTAAAGCCATTAGCCTTTAACTTTTTCATTTTTTCTCTCTATTTCTCAAAAATATAAATAGGTCAACAGGAAGACAGAATTCGAACATTTATAGCAATAGAAAACGGAATACGAAAATATGAAGTTAAAAAAATTTGCTTTTGCTGAGAAAAAATTTATGCGAATCCTTCAACCTTGAGCAATGAATTCGTCGTAATACTGCAATAAATTGGCCCGATGAAGTACAGCAAGTAGTTGCCATTCCGAAAAAGTTGTTGGTTGCCTGCTACCTGACCTGAAATTTAACATTAGAAAAAACAACAAATATGGAGACGAGAGATATTTAACCTCGTTGATTACAATTTAATACTTTCTATTCATTGCATTTGCCAACAATTTTTTATTCCTTTTTTGCATGCATTTCATTGTCAAGTATGCTTGTCTGTTTAGATGCAACGAAAAATCTTGTAAAGTTTTAAATATTAAAAAAACAAAGAATCTTTTCTTTTCTAAAACAGCTACGAAGAGAGATTAAAAATTTCCATTCCTTGGAGCATCCCGAGACTTCGTACTGACATTAATCAATATGATAGTCAGTGGAACCAAGAAAGAAATTTAGAAAGAGAAAAAAAAAAACTTTTACTTACCTTCATTTCATCGATCGTATAATTGCTTATTCAGTACTATGTTTTCTTTAATAATAAGCTGAAAAAAAAGGCCAGAAAATAACCTTGGCTGTTGCCGTGGTGGTGCGATAATCGATGAAGACGGGCTTGGTGTACTTGGTAGCTCAGAAATTTTGTCGTCTGGTTGCGGAAGTTCACCCTGGGTCTTCGTCGCCAGATCCAGGTCTTCCAATTTGTTTTTCCAAGAAAAACACCGTTTCCAAATGAAAGAATTGAGGGTACTATTCAGTGAAAGAAAAAAATACAGAGCAATTTGACAAAAAAAAACTTTTTTTCACTGAAGCAGAAAATGCATATGCATAATCCGCGGAAACTTGTTTGTTTTATACTGCAAACAGTTGGATTTTTTTAGCTTTTCAGTTCCAATTAAATTAATATTTTAGCCAAAATGTAGCCTAGTGACTACTATAGCCAGAAAAAAAATTCGAATTGTTGCAATCGTTTTTAGTATAAGAATAGCAAAGAATAATGATAATAATAACAGTAATAACAATAGGTTAGGAGATCGGCTCTGGTGTTGAATTGACCCTGATAATGATTGTTGTGCTGGTGCTTTGCACACAAATGATGCATTCGATGCTAATATGAATAATATTTTGAAATACAGACCGGTTACAACGAAACGAATCTTCAAAACTGTTGCTAATCTGAACCCCCCGTGAACACTATTTGATAGCGTCCGGGGTTGATTTGGTTACATAAAAAACTGCAAAAAAAGAAAAAAATTTTTTTTTTCGAAACATAATTCTATGAAATAGTACAGTTTTTATAAAATTATATTTCGAAAAAAAAACAAAACAAAAATTCATAAAATTTTTGTTTCGTGCAAATATGCAAAAATCTTTTTTTCAATTAAAAAAATGAAAGTAAAAAATAAAAATATTTTTTAAGAAACAAAAAAAATTAAAGGAATTATATTGCTTCTTCGCCTCCTACTAATTAACATTTTTGTCATTTGTTTTTTTTTTGAGGACAGTAGCAACAACTAAAAAATCAATTAAGTTTGTATGAATCATTTTGTTACTAAAAAAAAGAAATGAAGAGTATCTTTCAAATAACACATTGGGTGGTCTTCACCCACTCCGAATATTTCGAACAAAAGGCAGTAAGAGAAAACTGATAGGAAGAGTTAAGATTTTTTTATTATTATTTTTCCTTGGACTATTCCAACATCAGAAATGTATGCAAAAGAACCGATATTTGCAATGTTCCAATTATACCTACCACAAATTGGACCTCTCTTTTTTTCTTTCCTTTCCTTTCTTTTTTTTTTTAAATGATCTTTTTGGCAAAAAAGAATGTTAAGTTTTCCTGTGAGCTTGCAGAATATTTTAATATGTTAACTATTGACAAATAATCTTTCATTACTGGAAATTCATTCCATTCTTTTTTTTGAACTTTGCAAATTCATAATTTGTGAAATTTGTAAAAAAATTGTTTAATAATTAATGAAACTTATTAAAATAATTCAAGTGAAATAAGACAACACTTCGAGAAATTATCATTGCATGAATGTAACTCCCAAAAAAAAGATAATTTTTTAATTTAACTGGAAAAATCAACTATTTTTCCTCGAATACAAATTAAGAAAGAAAATGAAAAGAACAAAGTATCATCTGGCAATTAGCACTTGAAATGGAAAAAGAATTAAGTAGTCACCGAACAGATCACCGTTCTTCCATTGTCATCCAGTTCTTTCCTATGTTTTAATCAGTTCTGCTGCATTGAAGTACACACTTTGAAATTGGAAATAAAAAAAACGAAAAAAAAAGAAAGAAGCGAATGCATTGATGATAACTGAGGGAAAAAAGCTCAAAAAAAATTATTTCATTGGATGGCAAAATGATATTTCAAAATGTTATGCGCTCTTTTATAATTATTGTAAAAAGAAGAACATATGCATATGCACTGAACAGCAATTTTTGAATATATCAAGAAAAAAAATCAAAATTTATTTATCAAAAGATAATTCGATTTATTTAAGTTATTAACGATAAAACAATAAAATTAATATTTCATTCCATTTCTATGAATGTAAAGGAATTATTTAAATTCAGATTTTGCACAAAGATATTTCTCAGCGTTATGTTCGATCATCGTTGCATTGAATAAAAATTGAATAAATTATTTAACAGATATGATATCTCATTTCATGCAATCATCGTTGAACAGAAATTATTTAACAGATATGATATCCCATATCACATTTCATTATAATGCGTATATTCCAGATAGAGAAAACAAAAAAAAGATGGGAATTCTTCAGATCAAATAATATTTTATTTGGAGATGAATTCGATGAATTAAAGAAAAATGATCCAAAAATATAAACGAGGAGAAATTAACGATAATTGAAGTAAAAACTTTTCCAAAAGAAGCTTAGAAAACATGCCAACGTGCAATCGAGAAAAATGTTCCTTCCTTTCCTATTCATTTCTTTTTTTGAATTTATTTTAACTTCTTATATAGTAATTTGAAGCTATCTAATTGCATTACGAAAATCTACAACATCATTTTCCGTAATATTTTTTCAGCTTTTCATTTAAAATTCTCAAATTATAATTATTCTCTTTCCGATTATATTCAACAAAAATGAATTCATATCATTACATTTATTGTATTTCGCGGCTGAATTTATTTTGAATCTATCAAATCTTCGTAACAAACGAATTAAATTCTCTTAATATTTGAACTAAGCAAACAATAACAATATAAAACATAGCTGTCTCGATACTTCTGGAAAGTATTAAATTTGCTAGAAATATAATTTACAAATGTAACTGCTCTCATTACTTTTTCGTCTCAAATATAAATTCAATAATTTTTGCCTTGATTTTTACTATAACTCTTTAAACTGTAAGTACTTAACCACATGATCATTTTATTTCACAATCATAATATTACTACCTTCCTTCTTTAGTTGTTCCATTTTCTATAATGCAAATACAAAAAAATATTATTATACTTCTAATCAGAATTTCCGGCGTCATCTAAAGTTCAGAAGAAATGACTTTTTGCTACACACAATGAAATAGCGAAATAAGGATACAACAGTACCACATGCCATATATGAGGATTTGTAATCTCCGGAATGCTGACAGATGAATTGCCTATGCAGCTATAGCCTATCCTTCGTCATGCTAATTATCCCATTCTTCAAGTATTTTCAAGAAAAAAAACAAATTGTCGGTAATGAAAAGAATAAAAAGCTATTGACCGCCTTACACTCTTCAATATGTCGTTTTCGTAAGCAAAATATCACGGTACAAGCTTTTCTTCCTCTCCTTCTCTCTCTGAGAGATTTTTTTCTAAAATTTTCAGTGAAGATTTTTTCCTTTTTCTCCTTGCCCCCTTCGATTTCTTTCTCTTATCCACCAATACAATCTTCCACTACTACTAATGTTTCCTTCCACTTTTTCCCATTTTCTTTTTCAATTTCCAACAACAAAAACCAGTCATTTTGAAGTGAATTCACAAAATATGCGCCCGTCCTTCTGCCTTCCTAAAACAGCTAAAATCATTTCTTAAAATCTCCATTATTACTGTAATCTGTTATTGGCTACTGAATTGGGTCTTCGTAATTAATAATGAACCGAAAGAGCTAAAACACAAACAGTAATTGAATGAACTGTAAGTTAGAAAGAATGCAAGACGGTGTGAAGTCATATTTCACGTTGGCAAATGTTTCATTTGTGACCTTCTGTTAGTCATTACCGCTAACTAAAGCAATGCTTCTAAGGTCGCTCTTAATATTTCCGGATGTTTTTGACGAAAATAATCACTTCCTATCAACGAGTACAGAAAATGTAAAAATAAATCGGTGTATAGTAGTGTCTTCCGAAAAGGAAATATGCGAATGTTGTGCAAAGGAAGTAGTCATTTAATTAAGATCTTAAGGAAAAAACCTTAGTTAAATGGCCTTAATTTACCTGAAAGCTACTCCAGTTACTTTTTTAATAAATATCTCCACCTATTATAACACATATCATACGTTTGTCCACGTCCATGCATTTTGAAAAAATAGCACGTTGTATGAAGCACTTAGCAAGACAATTCGAGCCTAATATTTCAATGGTACAATTAATTACTTCAATCATAACTTTTTCGTCTTAAAGAAAATAAGAGATAAAAAAGCTATCGCTACACATGAAACAAAATGAATTTTGCTATTGAAAAGAGAATTTCCCTGATAACATCAATAACAATCCATGGAATTTTAGTCATTTTTTTGAAAATAAAAAGGAAAAACAGTGAAAATATTCCTTTTTCTTATACAATATCATCTAATTTTTTTTTCTTTTTGATATTTCATATTTTAATAATAGTATTTAGTATGATTATCGTGGTAAGATTTTTAAATTAAAGTTGTCTATTTGAGAGAGAGAGAGAGAGAGAGAGAGAGAGAGAGAGAGAGAGAGAGAGAGAGAGAGAGAGAGAGAGAGAGGAAAAAAGCCTACAATTAGAAGAGCGATATGATATGAATAGGATAAGATGAGAGGGAATAACCATAAGCATCCGTGAATTCATCATTTTCCTTCTTTTTTCTCCCTCCCCCTCCCCTCTCCCTTGCACCTACCTTTCATTGCTACAACAAAACGACCAATACTGAAACCAGGGTGCCTTTTTTTATGTTGGTTTGGTTGGTACTGCCTTACACCAAGTAATAATATCATTGAAAAGGATGGACGAAGCGAGAGAGGACATTTGCCAGCAGCACCGTCACCACCAACATAAAAACTACCCTCACACTACCAACTATTACCCGCATGGTTCCCGTCTGATACCAAAAAAACCCGGTTTACAAAAAAAGAAAAAAAGCCAATAGGAGCAATGGTAATGATGCCGGCGATCAATTCCGCGAAAAAAAGATGCGAATGCATTAATAGTGTATGTATGTGTGTGTATGTGTATAGCAATAATTGTCTTTTAAAATGTCATTGATTCAAAAGAATCAAATAATAATAGCTGGGATGATATGAAATAAGCCTTAAATGAATACTCACAAATAACTCCTAAATCATGTATAGGAAATTATGGAGAGAAATTTCAAAAATTGCAATCAATCTGATAATTGAAAATAACATTTAAACGTGATAATAATTGAATTTGAGGTGATATTAAATCAAATAATTGATAATTTATGATACTAATCGATAGCAATCAAAGTCGGGGTTAGTTAAATTTGTTGTTGGAGGGGTAAAGTTGAAGAAAGTTGAGGAAAATGCGCCTGTCCGGTATGACAGAGTTCATGTTTTTTATATGTTCATTTTGTCTCTCTGTTGGATCTCTACAGTTTGCATACTTTCATCATTTCGATAAAAACATTTTTTTGTTTGGAATGACAAAATTTTTAACTTTGACCTAAATTTTCGCTTTTTTTTATAAACTTGTAACTCCTTTTATTTTTGTAAATTTTAGAGAAACGAAAATTTGAAGCAAATCATAATTGGCGGTTATGTGAGAAGCATTGAATTTCTGACACTAAAAAATTTTAATTTCTATATTTTTTCCTATTTTTTAAAAAAGAAACTTCCTTTCAATATTAACTTACGGATCGTAGTTTTTGAAAATTT